CTCCACATTTAAGAAATCATTTATAAATCAAACACGAATAGTGGCATCTTTCAATTGACTTTTACCCCTCAGCTGTAAAAGACTAATGGGGTATTATTGTCACCCTGCTGGGCGGGTGGTGTAGACACCTAATTTTGAGAGAAACTTGAGAATACAGTGATGTAGGAGCTCCGAATTGATGCTATAAGTGTGGCGTTCACTAAAATTTGGCGTTCAAATCTCAGTGACGTCGACCTAAAGGTCAAAGGTCAGAGGCCAACTTTTCTGAAAATCGTAAATGTGATAACTTCAGAACAAGGCGACATAGGCTTTTGATACCATAGATATGTCTACTCGGAGGCTGAGGGGTAGCACTGGAAGCTTCCAGTGTGACTTTCACCTGCTGCAAATCAGGATTGTTCCAAATGAAGACAGTTTTATTGATTCAAGCGGCAAATAAAACACTTTAATCACCTGAATGTTGGTTAAATGATGGCTGTGGCAAGTCAATTGCTAGCAGAAGAGGGGAAAATGGGTTTTTAATTTCCATAAAAATACCAAAATCATTAAGTTTATGTCCTTTTGTTTTCTTCTCAGGGGGCCATTCTTACTACCATGCTGGTTTCTCGGAATTTCTCCGGTAAGTGCTTCTTGAATGCTCCATTTTTGTAAACCTACCATTCATATCTGTGAACCAACACCTGCCGGTATTAAAATTTCTAGAGGCAATTTTAAATGCAAACTTGTTATAGTCTGTTTGGGACATGCCACTATGTTGGAGGACTCATTCTTTAAAAAAAATACTCCACCTAAGAACTTGACTTATCCTGTGTATTCACTATTGATCTCTGGTGCCTTCCACCACACATCTTTTCAGCCACAAACAAATTACCGTGTTTCCCACAGAATTACATTCTGTCTGTGAAAATATAGCCAGAGGACGGGGTGGGGGATCTGGTTAGGGTATGTAAGTAAACGTAGGCTGTCCTAAAGTCTCTGTTTCAGATGCAAAGCTATTGTAGTAGAGCCTAGGAAGAAAATGAATTGGCAAAAATACCCTCTGTAAATTATGCTCTATATACAGTTTGTGACAATTAAATAAAGGACCAATAATTGGCTCGGTCTCCAATAAATCACTCATTAAGTAGACTAACTCCACCTTAAACTGTATTTGGCGAGCGTAGCTGTAGTTTTGCTCTGCAGCACTGATGAACTGCAATGTAGTGGCACGTGAACTACTCTACTCACTTTGGGTTCTGGTTAGAGTGACCCTACATTAACAGCATTTCCCTGGAGTGGATATATGTCGGTGGAGTTGGAGTCTGTTTCCAGGAGAAAAACCTCTGAAGAGGTAGCTTAACAATATGAATGGCTGCCACATCAGTGACCTGGTGAGGCTGCCGGTATGGAAATATGAGACAGGCTAAAGCCATTAGTATTTGGTTAGCAATGACAAAACTTTTAAACTGTGAAAGGAAGTGTGAAAAGATTGTCCACTAGTAAATTGGTAGCTGGTGTCATTCTCCCGGACAGGTGAAAAAGAAAACACATTGCTAGTTGTTATTTTATGTCAGTGCAGCCCACTCGAGTAAGGTATTTCTGTGGGAAACTCAGTTTTTATTTCTTACAGTGAGAAAAGCAAAGAAGGTAAAATGAGGCTTTTGATGTTTAAAAAAAATGGTGGCATGCACCTTGTAAGCACAGGCGAATGTAAATATTTAATGACAGACTCATTTGTCTCTTTTTCAAGAGTTATATTTTACATAAAGATTAAAGAGCATGCTTTCAGATTCACATTTCCATTTCATTTCGATGCAGCTTCAGTGTTTCCCTTGGTTTTCTTGTGTATGTGGCTGTTAACATGTAATGCAGGATGTTTTTGTGAAAAGAGCTGTTTTTATGTGATATTTTTCCAATAATTTCACATTTTAAAACCACATTTAGTCTAATAAAAACAGCTGCACATTGTTTCGTCACTGCTCTCACGTCCCGATGTCCTGAGAATATTTTCACACTCTATAAATATGAGGTACAACACCTAAGACAACAACCTGACATTACATTAACATTTAATGACAGTTTTTCAGCTACAGGAAGTGAATCACCCACAGCAGAATCTTAAAGTACAGCAACATTAGTTGGAAAATGATTCAGTCATTCTGTGTGTGTCTTTTGCACCACGCTGAACTGGAACAACAAAATGTGGGGAAACACTGAATTGATCCGCAAGCTGTTGATGTCTGTGTACTTGTCTTTGTCTTTGTGTATATCTCTGTAATAATAACTTTATTGAAGTTTTACATGATCTTGAATCTGTGCTTTAATTCAAGCAACATGGTGTACTTCAGCACTCCCTCTTTCCCTCCCAAACTTTGGGAAATTAATTTTTCAAACTGAGAATTTCTTTTTTTTACCTATGATGTATTAAATATAGTAGATGGTTAAATAGGAACTTACTAGGTTGATTTTTATTGGCACTGTTGTGGTCTATGAAACGGGAGCTCATCTACTGTACAATGACAAAATATTTTGTCATTTACTGCAGCGGTCCCCAACCCCCGGGCCTCGGACCGGTACCGGTC